ATAAAATGTCAGTAGTCTTGTTTTGAGTAAATATTATCAAATGATTACCTTTCCTTTCTGATTAACAATCCAGTGAGCATTATATGACAGAGAGATTTAAAACTGTGTATCATAAATTATTGGAAATAAATGTATATTATTATAGAGGAAGAGGTGGCTTAGATGGTGCTAATTTGAGATATTTTTCTCTCATTGATAGGGAGCCACTTAAGGAATTTTTTTATTTTAATTTGTGTGAGTTATTGGTAATTAAATGACAAAGACTTACGAAAAATACGCCTTATACGTGACTAAATCTGTGTGGTTAAACTATCAATTATTCATACTAATCTTAAAACATTTCTTATATTTAAAATTTTTCATGTTTTAAAGCACCGAAAATGTTTTCTGTGTTTGTATTTCTCCCTCCGCTATTTCGTCATATTTCTACACCGTCTCTTTAGCCTCTTTGTGACGTCACATTAGTGCGAGCTCATCCATAATAATACATTACCTTTTATACTGTAATTATACGTTACCTTAATCAACTGTAATTATATGATGTAATTATACGTTACCTTTATATACTGTAATTATACGTTACCCTTTATATACTGTTATTATACCTTACCTTTATATACTGTAATTATACGTTACCTTTATATACAGTACTGTAATTATACGTTACCATTATGTTACACTTTATATACTGTATTTATACGTTACCTTTATATACTGTAATAATACTTTACCTTAATATACTGTTATTATACGTTAATTTTATATGATGTAATTAAATGTTACATTTATATACTTTAATTATAAGTTACCTTTATATTCTGTAATTATACGTTACCTTTATATTCTGTAATTATACGTTACCTTTATGTACGTAACCTTTATATATATGTACTGTTATATTATACGTTGTACCTTTATATGATATAATTATATGTTACCTTTTTGTGATGTAATTTGTAACATTTATGTGATGTAATTATACGTGACCTTTATATACCGTGATTATACGTTACCTTTATATGATGTAATTATACGTGACCTTTATATAACGTGATTATACGTTACCTTTATATAATGTATTTATATGTAACCTTTATATACCGTGATTATACGTTACTTTATATGTAATAATTATACGTCACCTTTATAGACTGTGTCAAAACAATCACATCGACATCCTGTTCTGTTTACCGGAGTCTTGTTTGGGACCCAGATCATTTTATGGATGACACCTTTATAAACGATAATGTAAAAAAAATCATTAGAAAATCTTCGTATTTATTCAGATTCTTTCCATTATGTACATGTTTAAGAGATGAGATGCTATAGGCAGTAGCTATATTTAGTTAAAAAGAAACACTCATTAGGCCTTTAAGGACATACGCAACGTACCTTACCTACTGATAACTTTTCAAGATATTCTTAATTTAAGATTATAGTGCCAGCAGATGTTCATAGACAAAAATTCAGCATGCATTACCAGGATTTTTCGAAAGATATCAAATTATGAAATTTTTTGCATTATTCAAAGAAAAATATACAAAAATTACAAAACATAAGTTCCAGATTTTTTTTCCATCAAATTTGTTTTAGAAGAGGTGTATAAATCCATATATAGACATTTAAAGTATTGCACACAGGTCCTTCTTTTAGTGGAACTCTTCAACTCCAGGGAAGAACCCAATAATGTTCAAACTACGTTGCGTATGACCTTATGATATCTCGAGAACCCTTTGAGCTTTCGCAATGAAATCTTGAATAGCAACTCCCTTTAGACTACAGAAGAAGCCTATTTATTTTGAATTCAAAAGGTCAAAGGTCAAGGTCATTATTTGCAAATTCTGTCTGTTATAACACTTTCGTTTCCGTACGATATCTTGAGAACCCTTTGAGCTTTTGCAATGAAATTTTACACAACTCCCTGTGGCCTAAGGAAGATCCCTATTGATTTTGAGGTCAAAAGGTCAAAGTTCAAGGTCGTAAATTTATTGCTAGCGCTCTCGAGCGCTATCAACTACGAAAGTCCGAATTCCTTGAATACGCATGCTCGGCTTCACGATGGTACATTCTGGGAAAACGATGAAAACTACTATAATAGATAATCCATACGATAACAATTTCGTTGTATCATGTTGTAACATTAAATAACTATGTTTATTTATTGTGTAGCTTATACTTTAAAGATAACTTCAAATTTTCTGGGTTTCTTCTGACGGAAAAGCCCGAGTCATTATCTGATTATTCTAAACAAAGACAATTTTTTTTAACTTCTAAGCAAACCAAAGGTAGACTCTAATTTCTGATTGGTCAATATTCAGCCAATCTTACAAATTCCAGAAACAAGGATTTACAGTAAAAATAACTAATCAATCCATTATTTATATAAAATAAAATTCTGATGTGTATGGCTTTATACCTAACAGTTTTTGACAAAGATGACCGAAAGGACCAATTAAGCTTCTTCACATCTTCTTATTCGGAACTCTCTGGATTTCTTTATACAACATACACTTTGAGATATTTTCAATATTCCTTATAATTCCCCTGTATTAATTTTTCTTTGCTACATTGCCAAGAAATTCTATTCTTAAACCAGCTCATACAATGCCTCAATCGGCATCTTCACCATATCATATGAGAGTCTCCCGCCTCTCTAGTAAAGGTCACAAAATGTTCCGTTGCACCAAAACTCCAATAGGTCCAACACCCCCCCCCCCCCCCCTTTCGATCGTTTCTTTACTTACGTGTCTATAAAATACACTTCACAAAACAACAATAACTTTATCATTCTCTAGCCTCGATGAAAATTAAAGAATTCAGCAAAATAAATCACTTGATCACGGATCTTCCTTTCTGTGTTTAAAAATTGCTACGGCGCTAGCTCACCTATCTTTTTTTAAAGATAAACTTGTACATTCTGTCTGTATGAACACTATCCTTTCCGGGCCATATTTTAAGAAGATTTTGAGCTTTTGCAATGTAATTTTTATACTAAAACTCCCTGGGACCTCTCTCACCCCTCTCAAAGTGTCCTGTCCCGTTTTTTTTTTTTAGTATTTCTTGTACATGTATTACATGTCGCTATTTTTAGCACAGGAGCATGAGGTGAGTTATTACGTATAAAACAGGTTCTCGGTGGACATTATATTCTTATTACATTTGAACTGTTTAATAAAGGTTAAATTAGACACCATGCATTGTGTAAAATTTTGATAATATCAAACGTGAATACATACATGTATATACATGTATGTGCCTTCATTTTTGCTTATAATAATGGCCAGTCTAAAGCGGTTCCGTGGTGTAATGGTATGTCTCTCATTTCATATGTGAGAGGTTCTGGGTTCGAATCCCGGACGATTTATTTTCTTTTTTTCCGAAATACTTTCTTTTTATACTAAATGATAGTATTCAGCATATGAAATGAAAAATTTATGAGGCCTGGCTTGTACAAACTCATAAATTCATCATTACAGTGTGATAAATATTCCATATAAAAAGAATCTTCTATACACTTAATAAAGAATAAGCAATCAAATCTTTATATCCATTTGGCATATTTTATTTGCTTCAGTATACATGTATAAATTTAATCATTCTACAAATTCAGTCAGGGGACTCCCCCCGAACTGCGCATGGTTTACTTTTTCCCTAAGCGGGGGACACAAATTCTCTGAATTAGCTTGTTTTTATGAATTTGTATTCTTATTTTCATTTTTAAATTAATTCTACTATAAAGTTACAGTCTCCCATTTTTTTTAAACATAAAAGCATAATATGATCGTTTATGATTGTTGTAATAAATTATCAACGACTGAGTACAGAACGTACCCCTAGGATCTGAGCTATCTTGATAAAAGAGAAAAAGAAGAAAACACACTTTTCATTATGGAAAAAATCCTATTGTTTCCATTCCAAAAAAAGTACAATTCATAGAAACATGAAATGTGTGATGCGTCTTTTTATAAAAGCTTTTATTCATTATATTAGTTTACTTGATAAAGCTTTGCCTCAATTTTTGGGAGAATTTACTCAAAAGAAAATCAAACTCGAGAGATTTTGTAGTCGGTAATAACCTTCAACTCCTTTAATAAGCAATGAACCCGTCCAGCAGGCGTCCAGTGCCCAGTAGCATATTAATTAGGTCAATATTTATTGTTCATGAGGGGTGCTGTATAATTCATGCAAATCGTTCAACTTTATAAATCACGATCGTGGGATTTACCAACGAGTTTATGATATGGACCAAATTCCTGGTTCTTTGAATTAAGTATACGCGTGTTTTAAGTATTTTCAATGTTTTGGTAAACAATGTTACATGTACTATAATTAGCCACACTCCATTCATATGCCCTAGCTGTTCACACGGAGAGTTTAATTCGCAGTAAATTAATGCAAAGTATACTAATGCGAATCAAACTAATGGGTCAATATAAAACCAGAAGTCTCTGTCGAGACTGTAGCTCTACTGGTTTGTACTTATAATAAAGAAAGAGAAAAGTAGCAGGTGGGACTTAAAACTTTACAAGCTACAGCAACAAATAGATTAATGATCCTTGATTAAGTCTCTTTTTGAGGCAAGATTGCAATAAGACTACAACTGTAGGAGAAGCTTTTCATAAAATTTTACAGATTTTTCAATTTAAATTACCAGAAAATTTTACAGATTTTTCAATTTAAATTACTATGGCAACATAAATCATCAAAATCCAAAACACAAAACTAATAATTATGTATCTCAGTGTAGTTTGCTTGTGTGTCAAGTTATATTAAAATCAGACCAAAACTGTAGTAGGAGTAGCATTTTGAATGTATTTCAAAAAATTTCTATTTTTAGTAACCATGACAACACCGTTCATTGAAATCAAAAACTGATAAATAGAATTATGTATCTTCGTGTAGTCTACTTGTGTGCCAAGTTATATTAAAATCAGATTAAAACTATAGGAGGAGTAGCATTTTGAATGACTTTCACAAATTTTTAGTAACAACGGCAACACCATTCATCAAAATCAAAAACCGATATACAGAATTATGTATCTCAGTATAGTCTATTTGTGTACCAAGTTATATTGAAATCAGACCAAAACTGTAGGAGGAGTAGCATTTTGAATGATTTTCCCAAAAATTTCTATTTTTAGTAACCACGGCAACACCGTTCACATCGAAATCAAAAACCGATAAACATAATTATGTATCTTAGTTAAGTCTACTTGTGTGCCAAGTTATATTGAAATCAGACTTTAAACTGTAGGAGAATTAACATTTTAAATGATTTTCACAAAAATTTCTATTTTTAGTAACCACGGCAACACCGTTCATTGGAATCAAAAACTGATAAACAGAATTATGTGTCTTAGTGTAGTCTACTTGTGTGCCAAGTTATATTGAAATCAGACTTAAACTGTAGGAGAAGTAGCATTTTAAATGATTTTCACAAAAATTTCTAATTTTAGTAACAACAGCAACACCGCTCATCGAAATCAAAATCCGATAAACAGAATTATGTATCTTAGTGTAGTCTACTTGTGTGCCAAGTTATATTGAAATCAGACCAAAACTGTAGGAGGAGTAGCATTTTGAAAAATTGTTTACAGACGGACAGACAGACACACAGACAGACGGACGGACGACGGACACATTACTATCGCATAAGCTCTTCTGGTCTCTGACCAGTAGAGCTAAAAAGCAGCTAAATGGTTCATATGAAAATTGGAGATACAATTAAATATTTCCGTTTCTTTTTTGTATCTAAATTGATAAATCTGTACAATATTTTGGGAAAACAACATTTAGCAAACAGTAGGGAAGCTATTTTTTTTTCAGAATGTTCTCCTAAAAATTATCAACTGTCATTTCTGTCATTGGTGTTACCTTATAAAATTTTGTTGTATAGAACAAAGTGAAAAACTTATGAATGCAAGCTATGATAAACATTTACTAGGATTATTCAAGTTTACTGATAAGTCCAAAAGTATCGTTGTCCAGTCATGAAAATTCAGTTTTAATCACATTTGAATATTGACATGAGACAAAAATTGATAAACACACGCTAAACTATGCTGTAAATGTGGTGCTGTGTGTGTATAAATCAAAATAACATAATTTATGATTTTTTTCAAGGAGTGAAATTAGGTAATATAAATTTATTTCTTACATTTAAACTTATTAAAAGTAAAACTTAACAAGTTTTAGGTTGGTTACTCCACTGACTCAACTGTAACACCGATGATCGAAATTAGTAATACCAATGACTTCGAACTTAACAATTAGCAATTAAACATAATATAACATGAAACTTCATGTGAAAGACAGAATACATTGCATGGCTAACAAACAAAAATGAAATGAGTTTCTGGGATTTCATACTTAAAATGAACTTATAACAAAAAGAAATCTGGTAACACCAGTGACAGAGACTTATCCTATTGTGACCATAGAATAATGCAGAGCTACATCAGGTGTACTGTCATTTAATCATAAAATTTTACAGAATAAGTGATTTATATTGATATGTATATAACCTTAAAAAATATATAAAGGATCGAGAAAAACCCTTATTGCAAACGTTAATTTTTCTAATTTTACTTTTCTTCAATTAAGCCCCACACGTATACTGTATAGTACCACGCATTTGTATTATACATATGCATGGTTAAAGCTGAAAGAAATACAGTGTTGGTTTATCACTGGTTTGAAAAAAATAATGTTGGTAGGGTAAAAGGGTCTCAATTGTGAAGGATATAATTGTTTTAAATCCCACATTCTTCTTTAAAGAACTACTAGATAAAATATATTAATCTAAATTTCTTGTCACCGGTGTTATTTCACTTATCATTGGTGTTACCATAAAACGTAACTATTCTTAGAAAGATTTAAACAAACTAAGTTAAACTTGACTAATTTTACTTTACCTAGGTGATAAACTCTGACATTCAAGCATGGCCTGTGTATTTTTCAGAAGGGAAAATATATTTTATGAGCATATAAAAATGTTTGTCATTGGTGTTACATGTATATAATTTAATTCTGGCTGTAACGCTGTATTTGATTGGATAAAAAATTATTTTATATCGTATAAAATGGGTTGCCTACGTCACAATGACTTTCGTCAAAAACGTATCAATCCGCCTGACGTTACATTCAAATTTTGTAGAAATTGAAGTCGTTTTGTTAGAACAATCATATTTTTTTCTTACATCAAATGAATGAAAATTAAATTATAAGCAATGAATTTAATAGCTACCCATTTTATACTGTATAAAGTGGGTTGGAACAGTTTACGCTTTTTTATAAACCGCTTCGCGGTTTATAAGGCGTAAACTGCCCCAACCCAGTTTATACCGAATAAAATGGGTAGCTATTAAATTCATTCCTTAAATGATCTGAAGTTGTCACTGGCATTACCATATATTTAAAACGTCTGTAAGTGAAAAAAAAATTATTGATAAATAAATCAAATTACTTTCAAACACCATAAATTAGGTATGCAAAGTAGAATACAAATGAATAATTTTTCTATATAAGAAGAATAAATTTTGCCTCCAAAAGTACTTTATCTTGTTTTGTCAATGGTGTAACCATTCCTGTCATTGGTGTTAAACTTTAGGAAGTAATGCCAATGACAGTAACACCATTGATGTATTAGTCATAAAATGATCTGGTATCTCTAATTTACCCTAGATAAAGTAAAAGTTTTTTCCACATTGCTATTAGTTCACCTAAAGAACATCTTTCGTAAAAGAGTTCAATGAATACCTAAAATCGTTTTGAAATAACGATGGAAACACCACTGACAAAAAAGTTTGTACTACTCTACTTTCTTTACTTTTGAAGTCCATCAATATGTTCTGATCATGAATATCAAGGAACAGTTTTTGTTGTTTTTGGTGAGAAGTGATGTAATATGACTTAGGACTGTTTATACATGTATTCTCTTATCAGGAATGATAACTATTTTGTAGCAAAAACAAAAATAGTAACACCAATGACGCAACTTTCTTGTACAGTCATATTAAATGCTGTATCATTTAAATGGAAGATGGGGCTCATATTTTTTTATTCGAAGATATATCCTATTTAACGTTTATTTTATGCACACATAACTTTTCAGACAAAATTTCGTATAATTTTTGGGGTATTTATCCTTATTTGAAGAGAAAAATTCTATTGACAGCATGAATTTGGCTGATTGGTGTGATAAAAATCATCCATTGACTTTAATAAAATTAATTATGTAAAAATTTCTTTGGCAATTAGAAAGTATAGATGTCATACAATGTAAAGCAACTATCCAAAATTGGGAGAAAATAAGAAATAGGATTTTACAAAGAAGTGACACGTTTAGCTGCTTTTTTTTATATTGACCCTAATGCGAATTAAACTGCGCGTTCACACGACAGCTAATGCCAATTAAAATTTTACATCTGCAGCCCGGAGTCAGCACGGCTATTATGACGTCATTTGCAAATCACGTCACCTTCTGCAGAAGCAGATCCATTTGACATAATGTCACAGTGTCTGTACACACATTTTAATGATTAACAAAATTGTCCTTAGTTTTTCACTCAAAAATAGCACAAGTACCTATAGCAGACCATCGACAAGTGGTAATTGACTAAATTTTGCCATTACGCATGCGTCAGAATTTAATTCGAATTAGCTTCGCTTAGCGTTCACACGGTCCTAATGCGAAGTAATTTAATTAAGAAATAAGGTATCATTTTTTGAGTGTTATTGGGATGTAAAACGGGTTGGTCACGTGATCAAATCCCATAAAGGGCTTTATGGAAGATTTGATCATGTGCCAACCCGTTTTACATCCCAATAACACTCAAAAAATGATACCTTATTACTTATATTTAAGAAATAAATAACAAGTTTATAAACTTCAATGGGAATTGAAGTGGGTCGGTCACGTGATCAAATCCTGTGAAGGCCGAAGGCCTCCTCAGAAGATTTGATCACGTACCGACCCACTTCAATTCCCACTGAAGTTTATTAACTTGTTATTTATTACTTATATATACATTTGAGACAGACGATTGAACATTTTCGAATATAAATTATTGCACTAACCGTCCGTCGTATATTTTGAAAAATGACGCAATGTGTAAATCGGTTTGAATGGCGGTTACGCTTCGAATACATTAGGATAAGGATTTTATTTCTAAGGGACTATTTTGTGAAAGGCTAACTTAGTTGTGATCGGTAATAGTGAAAGATTGTTGTCTGGGAATATTTTTATTCGTAAAAATTGATAATCAAGAAACACGTCCGAAGATCGATGATAAAACGTTGGAGGAATTTCGGTCGCCAGAAAGATATGGATGATCCGATGGATGGAAACACTTGACCGTGTCAGTTAATTTGCAACTAAGTGTTTAAGATCAAAATTTTTTAACCTATGATTTCAATAACTAAAGGCATATTTATGATGTAAAAAAAAAAACACGGGGACATGAGCGAAAGCTTACATTTAACTACGACAGCGCCGAGGTGTTTGTCAGCTGTTCGTGGTGTGGTTGCAATGCTTTGAATGCTTTGATATTTTCCAACAGATTTACACATTTATCGTGAGTAGAAATTAATGAAAAAAATATGGTTTATCATGACGATTTGACTTAAGGTCTACCCCAAAAATAAGGATAAACGTGATAGACAGCTGAAAAAAGTGACATAAAAAGTGATAAAACTTGTAAACAAAAGCTAGTTTCTATCGGTATATTCTCCATGTACACAGGTTAAATCGATAATCAAAAAACTGTATGAAATACTTGTTAACGTTGTAAATAAAATCATTATTATTCTACTGCCATATTTTGTTCACTTTTATGCATGAAAAGCAAGTAGAGCAAGTCATTCTATATTTATGCACCGGTAGATATTATTGCGCCGTGTGATTAGGTCACGTATTGACCTCTGACCTTAGACAAACTTCATACAGAATTGAAGATATTTGTTCTCCGTATGTTTATATAATAGAGAGATACCACAAATGTATATATTTACATTTGTGACTTATGCATACTTTAAACTTGCCTGATTGTGACTTTTAACGTGTGAAATGCATTATTTGTCAAACCCAACGGCACGTATGTAATCCACTGACCGCGCGTCGACCCTTTATGACGTCACAGAGAAATTATGTCGAACATTTATCCATATGAACATCTATGACCTCTTGACCCCGTACCTGTATTTATAGAGTTATAAAAACGCTTACTTTCAGTAGTGTTATATAAAGGAAAACATTTGCAAATGTAAATATTGCGCAGTAAACTAATTCGAATTAAACTAATTCGCATTAAATTCTCCGTGTGAACGCTAAGCGAAGCTAATTCGCAGTAACTTTACGTTTAATTCGATTTCAACTCTCCGTTTGAACAGGGCAATAGATTCAATCTCTCACCAGAGGGCATATTACGCCGACTATTAGTAATAGTAAACATGCTTTGTCCAGGTTTCCTCTGAGTCTGACGACAGAAAGCGCTTTGTTGAAATGTCAGTTATCCATAAATATTACGTAAGTTTGTTACCGTTTGTTACATGACATAAAGCAATTAGCGTATATGCTAACCGCTTCAAAATGCGATATCGATATTGCGAGAATATATAACTTGTGGGTTATATACATAAAATTACACACACAAGTAAGCTTGACTTCTTAGGTCTATATTCGAAGCTAAAACTAAGTTATCGTGTGTTTACATTGATAGCAATTCCGAGCGATGCCCCAAACCCAAGATCCAAAAGAGATGAACGAGTCCATAAAGATGGTCTATGATTAACCACTTACCTATGTGAATGAAGGGGATGACCCCAACGATCGCTGCGGCCAGGAGGCTGTGGTATTTAGCTCTACTCGAGGAGGACATGGCCGTTAATTCTTCCAACATCTCCACTTCAGCCTTTCTCAATGCCGATCTGACATGCTATCACGGAACACGGCTCCTGAAAGAATTCAGATGAACGTTATATCGGAAACAGCCATTATCGATTTCTACCGAGTGAGTAATGAAAAATGACGGACGTGCTAACCACACTTACATCAGTACATGAAGTGATGCAAAAATCTGAGGAGAGGAAGCTTAATTTCCGTACTCTCATCATTTCTGTTAAAAACTCGGGGATGTCCTTCTAAGGTTTAACTACATTTAAAAATTTGAAGAAAAAAAATTCCAAAGCAAAAAAAATCCCTAAAAATTTAGAAATATCTTCTTTATTTACAGTTAAAATATTTTTTTTTCAGGTTTTAATTAAGCTTTACGTACTATAAGTTCCATGTTTCTCTTAATTTTAAAATTTTAATTTTAATATCCGTTATGTAGCATTGCTATTTAAGCCAGTTATTTCCAATTATAGAAATTTGAAAGAAAAACTTCCTCTTTTTCCTTGAGTGCCTGCATACTTGAATTCTTGTGAGAAAATTTGTTAAGTAGCAATACATCAATGATAATAAATTCTTGGGGAAACTGTATAACTGAAGAAAGTTTTTTCTCAGATGTCAATATGCACAAAAGAAACAAGGACTGAACAAGTACTTCACCACAAGATACAATGTAAGTATACATATGATAGCATTTAACACTAATGAGATGCGGTGACATGGTGTAAAATTACCTCAAAGTGTTTAATAAAACGAACGGACACGAGAAAATAAAGGAAGGCGTGCTTTAAAATCACGATATCGTCCGATACCCACGGATAATTTCGTCTGTATCTCATCCTATACCGATGTTTACACCAGGGGAAAATCATATTAAATGTCTTACAAAGTGTTGGTACTCAGGTAATTACAATTAAAATTATACCTGTTTAATTTATCCCTTGAAGATATACATATGTAAAATAATTGCATCAGTGAGAACGAAAAGTCACTGACTAAATATTTTACAGGCCGCTCAAAATGGGGAGGGGGATGGGATGTAAGCAAATATCTTTCTCCTCTACAAACCTGCTCAGGGAATACTTATTCCTTTATAGTACATTATTTTAAAACACAATCAATCTTATTTTCGGGACTTATCTGAAAGTAAGCCCATTGGGATATCAGTTCTAGATATTCTGTAAGTCTTACACATATGAACTTGTTATGGGCTTTTCTTATTACTTATTTCGTTAATAAGTTCTGATACTGAATTTGAAGAAGGACTTAATATCAAAATTAATAGGCTTTGATACAGCCTGTATGAATTTTTAAAGAAGTACCTTCACTTTAAAATCTCAAGAATTTATCCGCTCGTGCAATATTTAAATATCCAATGTTGTTGCAGATAAAATAATAAGCTTTGTTGATATAATTCTTAAGAAGTAAATCCATTTCTTCTTGGTAAGCCGTTCGCTTTATACATACAGTTCATTGAAAATTAAATCTAACCAGAAAGTTGCACTATTTCTGCAACACCTGATATAATTACGATGTGAAATTGATATGATATACGAATCGGTGTATGAAAGCTACTGTAGCAGAGTATATTGATATTTAGGCTGTTGAACCCGGGATGTGTGTGCATTTTTTTTTTTCACGTATATTCTTTTCCTATACAGTGTACAGTAAATTTTCATTCAGTTGCTGGTTGGGAAATACTCGTCTCCTATCCCATATTTTCATGATTTCAGATCAAGCACTGACAAACTCTGGGACTTCGGGGAAAAAGTACTAAAACATGAAAATAAATATCTTAATCTCGATTTCAAACAATTCAAGCCCTTATTTAAAGTTTATCCACACACTTTCATTACCGTTGCGACTGGCCTGATTTCGATAAAAATCAATGATGTGTATATTTTTCTTGTCACACTTCGGTGGTCACAGCATGCTGTTAGTCAGGATAATGTAAATACAAGATCAAGTTTAACTCCACTTAGGGTATTTAAAAAATCAGAAAGAATCTTGACAGAAACTTCATATACTAATCTCAATTACTACAGCTGAAGTATAATAATAAAGTGCATTCAATTTATGCCCTGATTCAATAAATTTATCAATTAAAGCGGACACAAGGACCTACCTCTGTATAATGCAATCTGAAGTCATTTAAAGTTCGCTTCACACTGTTCATATAATCAAACCACTTTCAGATGGCAAGGGAAATCACTCTAAATGGGACGATGTGACCAAACCTGCAAACCTGCGTTCAATTTCCAATGTAGAGTTATCGTTCGTTACTCTCTCAGAAAGCTCACGTCATGCATGAGTATTTGACATAAAACCTGATACTGTTATAGTGTTTATTTCAAGGATTGTTTCAAATTTAACTAATAGTTCTAGATTTATTTAGTATAGTGGTATATCTATCTTAAAACATAAAAAGTAAGCACAGATATGTACGTTAAATAACATAAATTATTATTATTATGACATGACATATGCGAGACAGCATCTAAAATCGCCTAAGCTATGACGTCTCAACCGATCTATAATGACGTCATGACCTACATTCTATGAAACTATAGTACGAAAAAGACCTGACAGAGACACGGGAAAAATAAGAAATAAGGCTTTGTAACAAGCAAATTCAAAGAACTCTACATTGGTCCCCCGCGTTCGGTGTCTTTGTGGGTGAGATGTCTTTTTATGTCATATTGTGTCAAATATGAACGCCCTATCATATGCTATTTAGAAATTATCACTGAAGTTGATTTTTTTTAAATGAGGTCAATCGTAAAGGTCAACGTCAAGGAGTCAGAAATCACAGAATGCTTGAAAATATCTTGTCACAGGTAATGCATATGACAAACATAAAAGTCCTATTTCCTCTTAATCAAAAGTTATAAGGAAC